GCGGGAACGCCTCCTTCCCTCACGGGCCCGGCCCTCCCTGTCCCTCCCTGTCCACTCCCGCGGCTTCTCTTCACGGATGTTTTTTTGTCCGCTCGTTTCGGTGCTCTTGCGCCGTGGGGTTCTCCCTCCCGGTGCCGCACCAGCAGCGATGGTGGCCTCTTTAACGAGCCCACTGTCCGGCAGCGTTTAGAGGCTGTTTCAGGCTTTTAGACTTTAAAGGATAAGAGGTAAAAAATAAATTTGAAAAAGAGATTTGGCCTCCACGTGTTATTTCGGCATTGGAGACGTACATAACTCGCGGACAGCCTGTGTGGGTGTGTTCAGAAATGCCATTGCCAGAGCAGGGCCACAGCCACCTTCCCTTTACGGGCTGACACTGGCCCAAGCCTCCCACAACACTTATTGGGGGAGTAACACTTTAACTTCTACTCCAAAATCATGAATATTAAATGTGCTAACACAGTTATGAATATTAGATGTGTTAAATGTGTTCACTGAAGAGTAAGAATGACCCCTGAAGAGTTGCCCAAACTGAGCTGGCAGTTTTGTTTCTTATTAGTAAGTGCAACACAATGCATAATTTGCTACGAAGATAAACCAAAGTTGGACATCTAAATCTGTTTATTCCCTGAATTAAAGTCAACAGATGATGTCACAACTGTATACACAGTTGTGTATACATGGTGTTGGAAGAGGGATGCAGCTTCTTGTGGAAACCTCTGATTGCCATGTTAATACCTTGTTCACAATGCTCATTAGCCCCCTGTTGTTTTCATTTAGCATAATGAGCCATGCTGAAATGGTTTTTTTATTTTTTGATTAAAGGAAGTAGTGCTGACAGCAGACACTGGGGGGAAAATGCTGGAGAACAAAACATTATTGGTGTCCTGAGTGCATAGGTACTTAGTGGCTCTGCCCAGCCTCATCCAGCTCTTGCTGTTGTCCCTCAGGAAAAGGAATTTGGGAGCTGAGAGTGGCCACAACACCAGCCAGGTGAAGACCTCACCGACAGGACATGGTCTAGTGACCATCCAGCAGGGATATGGACACAATGTCAGCCCAGGAAACCCAATCTGCAGTTCAGGAACAGAATTAGCAGCAAAGACACCCATGAGTCACCTCTGTCATCCCAGCAGGAGAAGGACATGGTTAGGTAGGTTCAGAGGAAGGCCACAAAGAGGCTCAGGAGCTGGAACACCTCCCCTGGGAGAGCTCAGTGTTCAGCCTGGAGAAGAGAAGGCTCCAGGGACACCTTGGAATCCCTTCCAGTGCTTAAAGGGGCTCCAAGAGAAAGCTGGAGAGGGACTTTGGACAAGGGCCTGGAGTGACAGGACACAGGAAAATGGCTTTAAACTGAAAAAGGGCAGATTTAGACTGGATATTGAGAATTAATTCTTCCCTGTGAGAGTGGTGAGGCCCTGGCACAGGATGCCCAGAGACGCTGTGGCTGCCCCTGGATCTCTGGAAGCATCCAAGGCCAGGCTGGATGGGGCTTGGAGAGGAAGGTGTCCCTGCCCATGGCAGAGAGTCAAAACTGGATGAAGTTAAGGTCCCTGCAAACCCAAACCATTCTATGGTTCTATTTAAACGCCAAGGCTCAATAAAGTCCCTGTCCAAGAGAGTGAGTCGAAGCCCCAGCTGAGACTGGTCACACAATTAGTGCAGTCAGGGCCCTGATAGCTGTGGGAGAAGAAGGTGGATTGGGGATGAAAAGGAAAATGCTAAATTTTTCAGGTATTGGAGGTTCAGCACCTGGTAAAGAACAGGATAATTAAATGTTAGGGGGTTTGGTTGTTTTTTTCCCTGTGTGTCACTAGAAGTTAGTGTCCTCTGCTAGCTTCAGCTAGCACTTCCAGCTTCATGCTGTATAGGGGTTAGAAGAAAAAATATTCACATGTAAAATTGCAGTGACTAAAATTTGAATTTTCACTGGAGGATATATTCCACTTGCACATTGAATCAGGCTTGTTAGGGTGATTTTAAATGGAAGAGAAAAGGGAAAACCATCCATTAAGGGACTCAATTTCATGCTAATTTGTACCTGCTGTTTTAATTAGAAGTTGTGTAGGGCATAAGCAGAATTTTGCCCATGAGCGCTTATGCTGAGGTCTGTGAGAACTACAGATCACTCTCAAAATGAGGTGCTTGGAGCTGAGCCTGTGCAGTTTTGAGGCAGGTAGAGGTCATGTAATCCAGGCTTGGTGCTCTGTATTGTTTCATTGCTGCCTCTGTGATAAACCACACAGTGGTCACAGAACTGACCTGCCAGTGACTTGTTTGCAGTTAGATCAGCTCACTGGGCTGCACAAGCAGCACTCCCAGCACAAGGGAGAGCTGTGGTACATTGGATTTAGTCTGTTTTAGACACTGGGGCATTGCATCTCCATTCACCCTGTTGTTGCCAAAGCTGCAGGCACGTTCTCTGTGCCCTGTGGCTCAGGCAGCTGAGCGCCCATAGCTTTGGGGCAAACCTTGTGTGAACCTAGCCCTGCTTGGGCTGGCCAGTCTCTCTTTGCAGTGCCAATTGTCTCTCTCCAGTCTGTATGTGTGTGGTATTATCAGAACAGTCCAGAACTAGGGGCTCCATCTGACATAACATGGCCCTGGGCCCCAGGGAGGGGCTAGGACAGGGCTGAAATGGAAAATAGATTCTCGTGAGAGCTTGCTCCCATCTGTGTTTTATAGGGCGTAATTTGTATTCTCATATTTTCTTCCTGTGACAACATCTGGGCAAGAAAGTGAAGATGTCATGAGTGCAAGCTGGTTTTTGTTGAGGGAGGAATGACATATCCCTCCCCTTTTCTCCTGAGCTGGTGTTTGAAATGTTTCTGGATGGCTCAGTTCTGAGCACTGTCGCTTTGTATTCAGTTCAGCTTGCCACAATTTGCCCAGAAAGCTCTATAATTATATTATTCAGGGGTAAGAAAGTGAATGAAAATAAACTAGTCAGCTCACATCTTTGTTTCTGAAAAATCCACCCTGCCTTAGTTTGCTCTTGAAGTCTAAAGGCTGACCCACAACTGTGGAGAAAAAACTCAGATGACCCTTGAAATGCATGGAGCACATGTATCAAATAATGAATCATTAAAAAATACACACCAACAGGAAGGCAGGAAACCTGTATGAGTCTACAAACTTTGATTTTCTTTGAAGGAAATAAAGCCAATGACTGGCTAGTTATTGACTTTCCTTTCCCTTGTATTTTGTGCACAGATTGATTCTCCATATGGCTTGTGATATAATGCTGCAGTGGATGACATGAAGCACAGGAGAGCAATTAGACTTCTCCACACTAAATTTATGGTTTTTCTATGTTTATAAATGTGCAGAAAGAGTAAAGGTAGTCTTACTTCTCTTTCTGATTTGCTTTATATAAATTTGAACTGAAAAAATATTTGCTTCCTTTTCCTCTCACATTGAGATATAGTGCTGTACCTTTGAGGGTTGATATTTTTGTTACTGTAGGGAGCTTTAAAAATCAGATGGAGGATCTTTTGGGGAATAATTCCTTCATATTACTGTGATTCAGAGATGCTTGGCCTGGGAAAATAACAGAGTAGCATTTGTCAGGCAAATGTCAATTTGAAATATTTCATCACATTTCTACATCCTTTGAATTGTGTCTTTGTGGGGTTGTTATTTAGCAGCTGGATTGACACAAAGGCTCAGGCTGACTGGAGACAGGGAGATGTTGGATCACCTCCTCCTCAGGGCTGATGGCAGAAGACAGACACCAAAGCACGGGGAGGATCTCCTCTGACTGAACATCTCATGGATGGATGGAACAGGAGGCTGTGGCTCAGCCAGAATGAGTGTCCACCATCTGACAGCTCTTGTGGATTTTTCTGAATTTTGCCACATTTTGTGGTGTGCCTTGAGGCCCCTAGTTCTAGAACTATGGAATCATAGTTTTTAAGGCTTTATGTTTCTGAAGAGGAGACAGAAAACCACTCAGTGACTCTCAGGACACAAACAAAATTTGTTGGAGATCTATAACTATGTATCTGTTTGTTACTCCTGTTTTGCTCCCTATTTAAACAATGTAATGATCCATGGAGGCCTGAGCTTCAGGAAGCTGTGTGTTTACTCATTTATGGAAGTGAAGTGCTGCTGGCCTTTGCTCTGCCATGAAGCTGGAGGGCATCCCTGGGATACAGCACATGCTTCAATCCTTGTTACAGGACTGTGGCTGGGCTGATTGGTACCTGGCGCTGGATCCTTACTGATGCTCGAGGCCTCTGCTAGTTTTCTGTCATAAATGAAATGCTCGCCTAAAGAACCAGAAAATGGGCTTCGTATCAAATAAATGAAATTTCTCAAAGCTGGCAATTCTCAGTAGCGTTTGGGGTTTTGGGAGATTAAAGGAAATAATT